AGAACCATGTTAGTGCCGACGACGTCGTTTGATTCTTGACAATATGACCTCGAAAGAATTGATTTTTGCAATTTTCGCTCCGATCCCTCGTTGAGGAATTTCTTGATTCTGTAAAAAAAAAAAAAAAAAAAAAAAAATGGCAAGGCGTACATGAATCTGCCGGAGTTTAGAGTCGCTGCGTCCTCGAAAGGATGAGTTCATTGTCGTCATCGATAAGGAAGGATCACAGAATATGGTACCATCTCTGTGTTGGTTGGCCACAATTGAAGACGCATTTGTTGTTTTCACCATGACATTACTCTGGGTATTGACTTTAGCTGTGTTAAAAGCTTCCTTTGCAGCGAGGAAGGAGATGAGTGAAAGGAGGGAGAGGAAGAACTGTTTCATGTCGAAGAAAGCTGTGCGGGTGAGAATGGATACAGGATAAACGGGTTTGGAGCAAATAAAATGACTTTTTTACTCTCAAGATAACGGTGGATTGATGGTAATTGTAATGGAGGACTTAATTGAGTTTGATTTTAAAAGTGAGAGGACTAAATTAAGTACGCTTAATACTTTGGGACAAAATCGAATATTAGCTAATTGTCGAAGGACCATTTTTGGTATTAACTCATAAATTTCCTCTAATAAATTTGCCCCCCCCCCCCCCCAACCTGACTTTCTGGCTCCGCCACAGACACACACATATATATATAGCTTAATTTCTTGTATATAAATGAAATTTACATCAATATATAATATGAGAAATTTTAGCATATATAAACACAACCATGTTTGGAGACATGTGAAACAAAACAAAGTTAAATAATTACGTATTTCACACTATTGTTGAAGCTACTTAGAACAGTCTTGTCCATAGGTGTGTAAAATTCTTCACACTTTTGTCATTATTTATATAATATAGACGTGTGAAACGAAACAGTACAGAGTTAAATAATTAGATCATTATTAACTTTTTTGTACCGTAAATAATTTGTAACGGAAGAATATAACTGAAAATTATATTTCAACCATTGAATTGAATGAAATAAGTTAGGTGTGAGCGTCAGAGGGGAGAGAATGAATATAATGGTGCATGCATTATATTGCATGAAGAACATAACGGTGCACCTGACAAGACCTGTGTCCCGTTATGTTCAATATCTAGCCAACAATATTTGAACATAATAACGGGTGAACCTGTATGTGCCTTGCCTCTTATATGCGTTATCTTATCCCATATATAGGAAGTGCTTGAAATTTGCGTCCGATTTAGTAGATGAGAAGTTTTACTTCAGTCAAACACCAAAAAGTTAAAATATTTAAAAAAAAAAAAAATGAGTCATTTTTGGAAATTATTTTCGATCGCAAACATTTTCTAAATTTTCAAACGGGCTCTATATGTAGTTCAAAATTCTTTAATTATTATATCATTATTTTTCTTTCTAATATAAATGTAATTTCCTCAATATAAGTATAAATTTTACAATAATAATTACTCATTTCAATATAATATGAATTCTAATAAAAAACCGATGTCATTGTAGTTAAATTAACTGCTCGCTTACCAATTGTCCTAAACTCTTAGGTAGTTTATTAATTAAATTACTTAAATATCAAAGGAACGTATCTATTGCACTTCAATCTTGAGGACCCCACTTACCCCTACCTCTTAGTTTCGATAAATGAGGTTGATGGATTTAATTTATTCGGGGTGGACCCGAATTACTTAAACCCGGTAAAGAACATATATGTGATATATAAAATGAGCAAAACGATGTCGTAAGGTCGCGGAGACCGTATATTATATTAAATGCCGTAAATGGGCTATTACAACGATCCATTAGGACAAAGTGTGTAAGGTAATGAGACAAGGTAGGAGATTTTTATACAAGCCAAACCCTCAAACCGCTCCCCCTAAACCGGGGTAGTTAGATCTCCCGCTTTGACCGCGTCCCCCCCTCGGGACCCGGTCCAAAGCGCGGGCGAGCTCATTATGGCCTGAGCTCTGCCCAGCCGAGCCCAACACAGACCGACTCGGCCTAGCCGAGGCCCTTGTGCGTGGCCTGAGCTCGGCCTGGCTGAGCTCGTCACAGGCAGGGCTCGGCCTATGGCCGAGCTCCTTAGGCCGAAACGACCACGACCCAAGCACGTTGGGCCAAGGTGGCTTGGATCCGTCTCTCCAGATCGATTCGCTCCGAGCATAATATATCCATCAGAGGTTAATCACGAGATATGTTTCAATGGTATACAAGTTCTTTAAATTTGCTTGTACACTGATGATACCCAAAATAGAGACAATAATTCAATCCCTCCTTTTAATAAAACAAACAAACTTGTGCACAGTGCATTACGGCATAGCAAATCAAAACTATAATATCATATGGTAATATTATACACTTATTTTCGCACAATATGCATATAACGTAACTTATAATATGGGGGGTCAGCATGCGCGTCTGGTCCTTTCACAATCTGCAAGTTCACATTTGATGGGTGATTGGATCGACACAGCTAGCTAGCTGGATTATTGTGGCCTAAAATTCATTAGTGTTATGCACGTTACGTTGTTTTACCAGCCCACATATAGTCCCACCCACCTTAGCTTACCAACTTCCAAATCCTCTCTGTCAATCTAATTTTAGTTGTCGTTACGTTGATCTTTACCGGTCAAAAGGGAAATTCCATTTGTGTTTGATTCTTATATATAACGATTACTTATATAATTATGTTTCATTCTTCCAAAAGGTTGAATCCCAACCCCAAGGGCCCCCCACACCCCGACCCGACACAGTATTTGGGAGGATGTAAATCATGGTAACTCAACTGAACAACCACAGAGGCTAAATCAAACTGAATATAATTATGTTTCATTGATATATTAGAGATGGACCTGGATCAAACTGACCCGAGGAGAAATGGAGACGACCCGGGCTTGGGGCGCCTTAGCCCGAGGTGGCCTCGGCTTGGAGCGCCTCGCCTCAGCCCGGGGTGCCCTCGACTGGAGGCGGCCTCGGCCCAGGGTGCCCTCGGCTAGAGACGGCTCGGCCTTGTGCGCTACATGCGCGGACGCGGTCAAAGAGGATCCAAACGCCCACCCTATTCTCATGCATGGGAACGGTTAGGAGGAAGCTTTAGTATAAAAAAAAATGCTCATTATTGTCTTAATTAGGACATCTCTTATCATGTTCAATCATTACAACTTTATTTATTATTGGAATAAGGTTCAAATTGGCCACTTAACGTAACCTGAAAATGCAATTAGGCCACTGAACGAAAAAAAAAAAAAAAAAAGTGCAATTAGGCCACTGGACACTCCAAAAACGTGCAATTATGTCACTGAACACTCCAAATATATGCAATTTCACCGGATAGCAGGTTACCATCAATTTTAGCAGGTTACCTGCTTACATGGCAGCTGAGTTGGCATTTTTAATAAATTTTAATAATAAATTTAAAAAAATTAGAAAAAATTAAATAAACCACGGGGTGACCGCCCCCTTCCCCCCTCCTTCGTCTCCGGCGGAGACGAATGAAGAGAGGTGGGGGGTGGGGGAAGGGGGTGGCTGCCGTCGTTTTTTTGTTTTTTAATTTATTATTAAAATTTATTAAAATTTATTAAAAATACAACTCAGATGTCACTTAAGCAGGTAACTTGCTAAAATTAATAGTAACCTGCTATCAGGTGAAATTGCATACATTCGAAGTGTTTAGTGGCCTAATTGCACATTTTTTTTTCGTTTAATGGCCTAATTGCATTTTCAGGTTACGTTCAGTGGCCAATTTGATCCTTATTCCTTTATTAATAATACAAGAATTGTCTCCGCCACATATATTACTTGTCTTTTCCTACTTTATTATTTATTCTTTATTTATCGGGTTTAGTAATTCGGGCTACCCGGGTTAATTAAATCCATCAATGTGTTTATCGGATAATGGAATCGAAACACATGTAAAAAGTTGTAGTAACGTGATACTCCCACGTACTGTCTCATTTTGTTTGTCATGTTTACTATTCATTGATCAAAGCAACTATTTCTTCATTACTTATTTTCTTTAGTAATTTTTAAATTTGAATTTTGTATTTGATAATATTTTTAATGTAGTTTCTAAATATATAAATTTTATATACTAATAAATTTAATATTATGAAAAATTGAATTAAAAATAACTTTCAGTCAAGTCTCATTAATCAAATCATCAGACAAATAAAATAGAACGGATGGAGTATTAGATACTCCATATATTTATCTAGAGATAATTTTTTAGGCTAATTGGATGACAACTTTGATGATTTGCCTATTCGTTTGTGCACCGTTCAAAAGACCCACAAGAGGGGTTGCCGGGTTGAACCTTGATTGACCTAGTAGATGTTGTATGTGTGGTCAAATTAAAGTTAATGTAAAGTGGATTTGTAATTTTACCTTGTTCCAAATTTCTAGGTATACCAACAAACAAACAAAAAAAAAAAAAAAAGGTAAAATATATTGAGAATAACATTATTTTACTCTCACGCGGTGAGAAAATTTTCATTTTGTAACTATTAAAAAATGTCAAAAATAACTTCTTTGATGATTTTGAGTATTCAGGAAAATAATCATTACTAATACCAACCACATATACGTACTAGTGATTAATAATACCAATCTAACCTTATATTTTTCTAAAGTTTAAAATTTCTGACTATCCATGGTTATGAAAAATTCATAAATGTTTACCAATTATTTTGATGGTCCAAATATTATTGAAAATAAACGATTTCTAATGGAAGTACCTTTATTATTTTTTTTTTGTGTTTTTTATTTGTTTTACCAAAATTCTTTGTGGACTCCATTTCATTCTTCCTCCCGCGTATGGTGATTCTAGCAAATCAAACGCAGATATAAACAAAAAGATAATTAATTAATTATTACGATTATAACAATAATAATAAGAGAAGACCTGCAGGCTGTACTGGTCAATATATGTAACGATTGTGGGCTATAAATAGCATATATTACAAGCCAGCAGAGACCAAAAACGCCTAATTTAATTTCCAAAGTCTTTAATTTGTTTCATCAGTACGGAGTAGCAGAAAACAAGGAATTGAAGAAAGAGAACTAACGTTCGTTGTTGCAGATCAAAAATGGCCGCAGGTTTTCGAGTTTTATCGTTGTCTCTGTTCTTCATCTGTGCAGCAGAGATGATGATGATGTCAGTGGATGCCAAAATCTCGAATAGCATGTTCGTCTACTGGGGCGCCGCCAATCATTCCTCCATGCTCGCCGATGATCTTCAGCTCGTTCTCGACCAAACCTCCGGCAAGCTATCTCATCTCTTCTTCCTTTAAATTTGAACTTGCATTGCATGAATCAATGCATGGGAACTATATGCATGTATGTGTATGTATAGGTTCTGGTGTTCAATCCAAGAGGGAATTCTTGTTTGGGAGCTTTGAGATGCAGATCAAGTTGGTTCCGGGGAACTCTGCTGGAACAGTCACCGCATACTATGTAAGTACGGGATAAATCAGAGTTGAACTTGTAATCTTCTGATTAGCTAATCAATCAGTCTGACTAATTTGGTTAAGTTCTGATGCATTGTTGCATGTGTCTTGTTGGCATGCAGCTATCGTCGACCGGCAACAAGCACGACGAGATTGACTTTGAGTTCCTCGGCAATGTCTCCGGGCAACCTTACATTATCCATACGAATATTTTCACTCATGGCACCGCCGGCCGGGAAGTGCAGTTCCACCCCTGGTTTGATCCCACCGCCGACTATCACAACTACACCATTCATTGGAACCCCAACGCCATCGTGTAAGTAGTCTATCACCAATGATATAAAAGTCTAGTCTTTTTAGTAGTCAGACTTGTAATCTTGTTGCAGTTATCACAAGAATATAGAATGTGTAATCTTACTAATTGTTCATAGCTGACTGGCTCAAATCAAGAAGACTAGACCAATAAATGTATAGTCTTACTTATAGTCTTACAAATCAAGAAGACCAGACCAATAAATGTATAGTCTTACTATCAGCTTAAAACGTCGTTTTCTGGTTTCAGATGGTACATTGACGGCGTGCCAATCAGGGTGTACAGGAACTACACCAGCCTAGGAATCCCCTACCCGAACCAACAACCCATGAGGGTCTACTCAAGCCTCTGGGACGCCGACGACTGGGCGACGAGGGGCGGGCTGGACAAGATTGACTGGACCAAAGCTCCGTTCATCGCCAAGTACCGGAACTTCCGGCCAAGGGGGTGTTACTGGAACGGGACGGCCAGCATCGCCCAGTGCGCCACCCCTTCAAGGCAAAACTGGTGGAGCACCGCCGCATTCAGCCGCCTCAGCTACGCAAAGGCCGGCCAGATGAACTGGGTCAGGCAAAACTTCATGGTCTATGACTACTGCAAAGATACAAAGAGATTCAAAGGGTTGATGCCTGGAGAATGCTATATGCCACAGTCCTAGCTAAGAAGATCATCCATTATACACAACTCACAACAATAATCCTCTAAGATATCAGTTCTTAATCCATTCCCCATTGTTTTTTTACTGTTTGACTTCAATTTTTTATACTCCATTCTTTGATTTTTAACTGGATATTCAATACAACTTGGAATGTAACTTCTCAGACCTTCATCTCTGTATTCCTTTTACAAGTTAGACAATACTTATGATAATAATAGATTTTATGGTTATGCAAATAATATATTCTTGGTGAGGCAACCACAACCAAATTGATCTGTTGGCTTGGTAACCACAAAGTTCTAAGTTCAACTTCCTGTGAAAACGACCTAACAGCCTTCTTGGTTTGAATCTTTACTGGCAGCACACCCTCAGGTAATGGGTGCAGGTTTTCTCGTCACCCAAAATAATATATTCTTGGAATGTTTGGCAAGTGGCAACCCAATATTGTCATAGTTATTAATTTAAAGATTATTAGTCTATATTTAGATTATAATCTCAACACCATGATAGAACAAAGAAAATAAAAGGGAAACTGATACTTTTCGGCCCCCAACTATTGCTAAGTGGCTTTTTTCATCTCTCAATTATATGCGAAGTGACTTTTTTTAACCAAACCTTACTAGAACTCAAGAACGAATTAAAAAAAACCCCATTTTGCAAACAATTGAGCGAAAACAAGTGCTTTTTTCTATAATTTAAGAATCATTTTCCCAAAATAAAATATGAAGTTTTTATTTTTTGTTTTTCAAGTCACCATCAACCACTAGCTGCTGGAATCTAGCAACTGAGGGTACTGGCAAAGGCTGGCTGTGGTGTCCGGTGGGGAGGGAAGAGGGGTGGGGTAGAAGGGGTTGGGAAATAGCAGAAATTTTCAGGAAAAACAAAACCAAAAAAATGAAAATGAAAGAAAGAAAGAAAGAAAGAAAACAACTCATGAGTTGAGCTTTCAACAAACAGCAACATGCAGGGCAAGACATGTGCGATTGATGTTGTGTAGATGTGGGGCAGATTATATTAATTGAAATACAAGATAAATGCATGGCAAATTGGTTAGCTGTTAAACAAGATAAACACATGTCATGGTAGGCAAGTTCTTAAGCAAGATAAATAAGCAAGTTTCAATGTTCTTCTTCCCCTTCGCCTCTCCAGATGTTGCGTTTCTATTCTAATTACTGCAAGTTTTTCATTCGATATCTCTTCAATCATGTGTATTACAACTATGAACAGACTGACAAGAAATTCCTAATATCAGTAGCTTATATAATCATGATTTGACCGACTTTTCCACTAAACTACTGCTTGCAGTTCTACAGATATGTCATTCAGAGCAGTTATAATGAAGGTGAAGAAAAGTAAATTGGGGTGTTTGGTAAATAGTTGTTACCTGTTAGCTGATTGGGTTAGTGGGTTTAACTAGTTGATAGCATTAGCTGATTGTAGAAAGATGTTTGGTAAATTAGCTGTTAGCTAATAGCTGATTACATGCAAAATGTTTTTCTCAAAAAGCTTATCGAAAAAGCTACTTTGAGCATTTTTTTGAATTCTAACATTTTGAAGCAATAAGCTGTTACAAAAGGCTTAATCAAACACTTATATTATTGAATGTTTAACCAAGTCAAACAACTAATAGTGGTCAAATAAGTCAAAATTGGCTGATAAGCTAACTATGTTACCAAACAGGATCAAAGAGTATTAGTGATGCCAACTTTTGTTCGTGTAATGATTGTCAAGCAACTAAGCAACCACTGGAATTAAAAGAATTAGGCAACTAGAGAATGTCTGATAAAGATTGACAGTCTGGAGCACTTTAAGGTTTGTTTAGTGCTAAATACCGCAATTTCAAGAAAAAGGCGGGCTTCTGGAATGGACCAGGTAGCATACGTCGATCTGAGGTTCCTAACCCTTAGAACTTGTTCAAGTCCAGCCAGGTGTCACTCGAGGAGGTTGTTAATACTTAAGAATAGTTAGATTTCTTAACTGGTGAATAAGTTGTCGGTTTTATTAGTGAGTTTGTTTAGTACCCGAAGAACGAAAAAGTGCAGAATCTTTTATTTTCCCTTTTCTCTTGGATCTGTTCTTCTAGCAACGGGAAGAACAGAAGCAAGAGAGAAGGAGGGGAAAAAAGGGTTCTGCATTTTCATCCTTCTGCTCTACAGAAAACACAGAGACACATACAAAACCAACAACTTATTCGACACACCTAACAGATCTAACTATTCTCAACTACCTCATTGAGTAAGGCCTCCCTGGACTCCAAATAGTATCAAAAACAATATTTCAGAAGCCAAAATGGTTCACAACCCGTGTTAAGCTTTAATATATCAGTTACCAACTACTACGTAATATGTTGCAGAAGGCGCTAGGCGGGCGCCTGGGGGGCTCCTAGCGCCTAGAGCGCCTCCTAGGCAGTCGAGTAATTCGAGTATATCGTCTCCACTTTTTCCACCCAAGGCTGTAAGTTGTTAAACTATTATAATCCCACAAACTAATCAACTACATATGTTAGATGGTTAGTTGAGTACATGGCTAGAGGAATATAGGAGCAACCGAATAGGCAAAAAATACCACTCAGCCTAGTTGGGCACCAACTAGGCGGAGTTAGGCGCCTAAGGCGCCTAGTCGGCCAGCCAACTAAAAGCCGCCTAGGGCTGAAATGGCCTCGGCCTAGGGGCGCCTAGTGCCTAGGCGGCCGATTTTTACAACATTGCTACGTATATACCAAGACACATCATCGACATCTGATTATCATTGCATGCAATAACTTTAGACAAGTAGAACGGTCAAGTGGTGCGAGTATACACACAAATACAAGAGTTAAGACTAAATATGACAAATCAGACAACACCAATCACAAACATTATTTGATCATACATTTGTATCATTTCCATTATAAAATTGTGTCTCAAAGAACTAAAAAGAGAAGATCGGTGTGTGACTAACAAACTCAATCTTCCAATAGCCCTTGTTAAAATTGCAGTATAAGTGCAAGCGCACAACTAAGCAATCACAAGGGCAAGCAGCAAGCCGGAGAAATATACTCAACGAGCCACGAGAACCTGGCTGTTTCATTCACTCAAGTACCAATTAAACAACACGCTTAGTGTAGCCCTCTTTCCTTCTGCCAATCAATCAGCCTCCATAACCGTCTTTTAGGCAAGAACCCCATTACAAACCTATATCTATTACTCAGGAATCTCTTTCTACTAGGTAATATCGAAACAGAACCTTTTGGTTCCAACCAATCAACTTATGCTCCTCAATTGTGAATAATCTATCCTAGACTCCGAGGAATATCATAGACCAGAATAGTGCAAAGTAATGTGTTCATGTTAATGCTCAATAATCACCAAGAACCCAGTCTTTGTTACTTAACAACATCCATTTCTCATAGCAATATAAAATTTCACAAAATTTTAGCATAATTTTCCCACTTCAATCAAGAACCAGACTGCATAGAATATCGCAGCACAAAAAGATTCAAACTTTCATTCCATTTCAACTTATTCTCAATCTTTCTAGCTGCCAGTTAATCCTTTAACCCATAATCCCTTTTAAGGGCAACTCCATTTACTCAACTCAAAGTGAACTAAGAACAACTTGTAACTCAATTGCACAAAAGTGATAAAGTTCTAGGGTAACAAAAAAATTAGGTAACCTTTGATCAAAATGTATTCACGTGACACAAATATAAACTCCAAGAACAATCAGAAAAGTACCAAACAGAGCAAACCCGACCCGGGTCTCTTCTCCGAGAAGCATCCCAAACACGGCGGTGGCGGCAAACGTCGTCCCATTGGTGACTGGAACAGCTACAGAAATGGGCGTGTCGCTGAGGATTGCGAAGAAAGCTGCCGAAGCGGAAAGGTTGAGGAGGAATGGGAGAGAGTACTGCCAAGTCAATAGCAGGTTGAACCAGTTGTTGAGGGTTTTGAGGACTGGGTGTTGCGGCGTGTCTGGATGGCTGGAAGATCTGAGCTTCTCGTCCCATTTAAGTGCGCCTTTTCTCATCAAGGCGTTTGTGGCTCCCCAAACAAGGCCTACCGCCACCATCTTCTCCATTTCTCCTCCCATCTTTTAGCTCTGTGTGACCTCCGAGTACGATGAAGACGAAACTAGCCATGGTTTATGTTTTTTATTGGAAATTACATTTCTCTCCCTTCCATTCTCAATGGTTCATAGGAAGAATTGGGAGGAGACCAAAAACCGAACCTGGACAGGCAGTGAGATAATTAGAGCATCCACAATGGTTGGGGAGAATAGGAGGATAATGTAAGAGTGATTAGGAAAGAGAATGGGGAAGGGGAGGAAAAAAAAAAAAAAAAAAAAAAAAAAAAAACCAAAACTAAAAATTAAAAACAAAAAAAAATTAAAAAAACAGAGGTGTCAGGCGCGCCGAACGGCGCGCCTGACGCGCCCATGTGGGCTTGCTGCTGTGCGCGAAACGCGCACAGCAGCGATGATCATTATTTTTTTTTTTTCTTTCTTTTCTGACATTAACCCATATTTTGCAGGAGAAATCTTCTCACCATTATCTCATCTTCACACTAGATATTATCCCCACTCAAGAGATTGAATCTGACATTATGCTCCTAATATCTACTGATGTAGATGCTCTTATGTTTAAAGTAGGCATATTGCACACAGATATTTGGCCATATTTGTTAAGTGATGAGACAGTGTGATTTACGTCCTTCTAAATGTTCTGTCGGACAGGGTGCGGAATAGGATTGAGCAAACTATCAATTAACCGTCACATAACTGAACCAACCAAAAAAGTCAATTTCGGTTATTAATCTTTAAAAAATTTGATTTTTCAATTTTTCGATTATTTTGTGGTTATAATCTTTCGGTTATCGGGGACCGATAACCGATTATATATATATATATATATATATATATATATATATATATATATATATATATATATATATATATATATATATATATATTTATTTATTTATTTATTTATATTGAAAGGTTCCAGTGCGGTTGAATGCTTCCCGTGCGGTTGATTAATGTGCGTGAGTTTTGTACTCAATGTGCGTGTGTCTTGTACTTAATGTGCGTGGGTGTGTAATGTTAATGTGTGTGAGTTTTGTACTTAAGGTTTGTGAGTCTTGTGCCTAAGGTGCGTGAGTTGTGTGCTTAATGTGCATGAATTTGAAAAGTTTAATGTGTTCCTATTGCTCCTGTACATATACGTCTTCGTCTTCGTCTTCCCTTACTACCCTTAATCCTCTCTTCCTCTCTCTCTCTGTTCTTCACCATATACGTCTTCGTCTTCTCTTCATATTCCCTTAATCCTCTCTTCTCCTCTCTCTGTTCTTCGTCATATACGTCGTCGTCGTCGTCTTCGTCTTCTCTTTCTAATAAAACAGTTTTCCTCTTTTCCCTTAATCATCTCTTCCCCTCTCTTTGTTCTTCATCGCTTCCGTTAGCTTGAGGTGTGAGTTTGTTGTCTGAATGTATTTTGTTTATAGCTTTCTGTGCGATTGTGTTAAAACTCACGCACATTAAGCACAAACCTCACTCACATTAAGCACAATACTTAGGCACATTAAGTACAAAACTCACGCACATTAATATTTTCATGCACATTAAGTACAAATCTCAGGCACATTAAGCACAAGACTCACGCACATTAAGTATAAAACTCACGCACATTAATCAACCGCACGAGAAGCCACAAATGCACCTGATACCTTCCTATATATATATATATATATATATATAGTCCAATCATACTGTCAAGTTTTTTTTTCTTTGCATGAGAATATATATATTTCACAAACGTGAAGATGAGGAGTATCACTACTTCTGCTTCATTGCGTGAATTAAGATTTCATCTTCAAAAACTGCCGCATAGCTGGATAGCTGCTTCTGATAATCTGATTGTCGCGCTGACAGCTTGGTTTCTTCTGTGCGTTTGATGAGAGATGGATGGGAATTAAACACAATTTTAGAACTATTAGCCAGGGAGAAATATATAGCTAGAAGATAGGGGGTGATACATAGCCAAGTATTAAGCATTGATTTTTGAAGATAATTTTGGTTTTTCGGTCGGTTATAGTATTACTTTCGGTCGGTTTTGGTCAGTTATGAGGTCAAAAATCACGGTCGATTTTTCAATTTTTTCGGTTGATTATATAACCGATTGACCGTTTGCTCACCCCTAGTGCGGAGGCCTTTGAGATTGGGAATTCAAGCTTTTGGGAGGAGAATAGTAAATGAAAGTTTTATTTAAAACTCATTTTGATTAATTGATACGGAGTATTTGATAATAATGCTTAGGTGTTATTTTTTATTAGGATTCTGTTTGGTAGAGCTTATTTAAGAGTTTATAACTACCAGGACTATGTGGTCTAATGGTACCTGTGTTGGACTTTCATTTGAAAAGTTGTGAGTTTGAGCCTTAGTGGAGGCGTTATTGGTTCTTTATGTTTCAATAGGTTGAGAAAGTAGCGTTGGTACTATATATCCTTCTTCTCAAAATAAGAGCTTATTTTGAAATACTACCTTAAATAGCGTTTCAAAAATAAGCCAGTAACTTTTATCTTCTTTTTTTTTTCCATCTTTATCTCTATTGTCGATTATAGAATTATCCTGGAAGGAAGGGAAGTTGGTACTATATATCCTACTAGAGGTTTACATTAGGGAGATCCTATCTCTCCTTACATGGTAGATTCATGGGGTTCAAGTGGCCAGAGGAGCCCCTGAAATTTCTAAAATCTTCTTTGCAGATGATTGTTACATTTTTTGTAGGGTTAACATCACTGAATGCACTATATTGAACAATACTATCAAGGAGTTTGTGTCTACCCCAAGACAGATTATTAATCATTCCAAGTCCATAACCAGTTTTAGTCATAATGTTCAAACTGCTATAAGGGATGAGTTGAGTTTTTTGCTCGGGATGAGGGAGGGCAACCTCAGTGGAGGATATCTAGGTTTTCCTTCTATGAGTAGGAGAAATAAAAGATAAATTATTGGCTACATAAAAGATAAAGTGGTGGGAAGAGTTAAGAGTTGTAGTAGTATATTCCTCTCTAGAGCGGGAAGAGAAGTTATTCTTAAGAATGTAATCCAAGCCATGCCTACCTATGCTATGAGCGTGTTTCTCCTACCTCTTGAAACCAGTAAGGAAATTGAGAGGGCTATGAATGGGTACTGGTGGGACTGTGAGGGTGATAGGAGTAAAGGGATTAGATGGAAGAGTTGGGAGTCTCTTTGTGTGCCTGAGAAATGGGGAGGTATGAAATTTGGGAAAATCGGGACTTTAGGCCCGTTTACTAACAGAAAATTGTTCTCTGTTTTATGTTTTTAAATTTTTCAGTTTTCATTCTCTACTTTCTGTTTAGAAAACTTGTTTACTAACACTTATTTTTTTTAATTTATTTTTGTTTAGACTAACGTTATAAAATTAACACAAGTTTAATTTCGAGTGATTTTTAGATCTTATATTTAATATATTTTTACATAAGTTTGGTTTAAATAGAATAAATTTAATTTAATTTTTTTTACTTTTAAGTCTAATATATTTAAGATTTTTACATAAAAACTAAAAAAATATGTCTGAATAAATAACCAATTAAGTTCACCTAAAATTTAGTTTAGATAATATTAATATTTTTTGAGCTAAAATTTAAAATATTTTTTGATATATTCATTTGAATGGTATGTATATGAATATATAATTTTTACTTTGAATTCTAATATATGTGAGATTTCAATATCTGATATTCGAATCGAACTTGCATTACGATATAACATAACTAAAAATATTCGAACTAATAATCTATTGAGTTCAATCAAAATCTAAAACATTGTATAGAGTTCGATTCTTAATTTCGATAACGTAAATAATGTCTAACTTTAAAGTGTAATTAAGCAAATAAGTTATGTTTAAATAAGTAAAGTAAAAAAGATAGAAGATGGTGATAAGTAAAAGAATATGATAATGAATGTAATCATATTAATGTGGTTATAGTGACATATAATCAAATAGATGATAGAAAATTTTGTTTTCCATTTTGAAAACGGTTTTCTAGAAAACTGGAAAATTATTTTCAGTTTTCAAAATGGAAATCTGTGCTAGTAAACATGTTGTCTGTTTTCTATTCTCTAATTTTCCAGTTTTCCAGAAAATTGAAGAAAATTTTATGTTAGTAAACGGGCCAATATGTTTCCATGTTGGCAAAACAAGCGTGGAGGTTTATTCAACATCTCAATTTCTTAGTAGCAACGGTTTATAATAAGGCTCGTTATTACTCGAGAGAATCCTTTCTTGATGTCATTTTGGGTAGTAACACTTTTTTTTATTTGGCGTAGCATTCTTGAATCTTAACATATTGTTAGGGGTGGGTTTAGGTGGAGGGTGGGAGATGAGACCTCCATCAAAGTTTGGAATGACCTTTGATTACCTAATCCTTCTTCTCCTTTTGTTCTAACTCCAGCGGACTTCATCAGACATTGATGAAATTAAAAGGCTCAGGATAGACTGATCCTGGAGAACCCAGGCCTTATGCGTTGGATTCGGAGTCGCCGTTGCGGTGGTGGTAGCGCCGGAGCCAGACTCGCCGGACGTCGCGGAAATCATCGCCGGAGGGCACGGTGTTGTGCCATCCACGAAGCCGATTAAGTCCTGTCCTCTAAGAAACGGGAGAAGTTGTGTTCTCCAAAATAGAAAGTTCCTAGAGGTAAGCTTAATCGAAATGAAATGATGAGCGCCGGCCAAGGGATTTCCGGTCGCCGGACGGAGTTCTCTCCGACGAATTCGACGACATGGTGGGGTAAGGAGGGGGTTGGGTGTTTTGCGGTGGAGGATCGTGTTTAGGCTGATACCAAATGAGAATTCAAAATACAATTCAATACAGAAAGATAAGATTACATGAGAGTATATCTGAGTCTATCTCTAACGGTTCCTATCTAACAGGTTACCAGCAGAAGACTTATTCTAACCATACATAATTAACTATAGGTTATAAACATAAAATAATAATAACAATAATATTACTCACACAGCGATTGAGCATCTCAATGATATCAATTTCATTATGAAAATTATCTTTTTATTTATTTTTCATTTCTTTTTCAGCTACAATTTTTTGTATATAGATTCTATATGTAGTGCTAATACATGTCCATTTGTTTTATTTTCATTCATTTAAATGAATATATGAATTATTCATATATTAGTTATTAGTATTTTTTTTTCCATTTTTCAATTGAACCAATTCAATTGAAAATGGAATTTCTTTTGTTTTTTTTTTCTATTGGATTTTTTCTCAACATTTCTATTAATAACATCGTAAAGGTGGAGTCTCTCATGAATGTGTAGAAAATCAAATTGGAAATTGATATTCTTAAGGATTTGTTTTTGGAAGAAGATGTTGATCAGATCTTGAAGATCTCTATAGCTGAGACATAAGTTGAAGACAAAATTGTTTAGATGGGCGATACGAAAGGGAAGTTTACTGTCCGAAGTTGTTACAATATGATCCAGCCAACTTTCTTGAGACAGATGTACCTATCTGGACCGGAATGTGGAATTTTTGATTACCTCCAAAGGTAAAGACTTTCTTTTGGCAGTTTAACTCGAATTCTCTCCCTACATTCCTACATATGGTATGTTGAGAACTAAGCAGGTTCACACTCCCTCCTTATATCAATCGTGCAACAATGATGATGAATCTAGGTCGGGTCGGGGTGTGGGGGGCCCTTAGGGTTGGGGTTCAACCTTTTGGAAAGAATGATGATGAATCTAGTTTCCATTTATTTGTGAGTTATGATTTAGCTAAACAGTGCTGGGATTTGCTTGGTGGAATCAACTATTGGAGCAGTAATTATCTTCACGAATGGGTTGATAGTATTTTCAATCCTCTTGACAAGGGGCATCTGTGCAAAGTTATCATGATTTGTTGGCGTATTTAGGAAGCTTGTAATGACAAAGTCTGGAATCACAAGACCACCTATGCCAACACGGTGGTTGATTAGGCTTGTGTCTTTCTTCAGGAGTGGACGGGAATCAAATTTGGTGTTCAGGTCTCTAATTCCTCATTTGTTCAGACTACTCCCTAGTCTAAACCTCCTCCCAGCTGGTTGAAAATGAACGTCGGTGTTGCTTTTGATTCTAGAAATTGAAAAATGGGTCTTGGTTTTGTGATCAGAGATTTTGTTGGTGCATTTGTAGCTGCTAAATTGGTGCCTTAGTCTGGCTTGTTTGAACCCGACGAAGCGAAGGCTCTCAGTGTTCGCGAAGCTCTGAAATGGATCAAGAATCTCAACCTTGAAGTATTCAAGTTGAAACTGACTGTGCCCAGGTGGTCAAAGCTATTGAAAACAATTCTCTTTGCTCATCCTTTGATCAACTAGTGAATAACATTAAGGATTTAGCTAGGGATTTTTCTGACCTCTGATTTTATTTTGTTAAGCGATCTGCGAATAAAATCGTCCACGAGCTAGCTAGGGATGTCATTTCTAAGTCAGATTGTACAGACTGTTTCTCAATCCTTTTTCCCTTTATCACGCATGTACTAAATCTTGATCTTACTTAATATATTTCACATTTTTGCTTTAAAAAAATAAAATAAAACTGAGAACCAATTGTTCAATCGTTATACTGTGCACCACGGCGCACATAGCACTGTGCGTCCCGCGCCTCCCAAAACGACGTCGTTTTGTTAAGTTGTGTGGGGAGTTGACGTGACAGAGTGTATGTGTATTATGTTATACCATTATGTACATTATGTTATACAATTATGTACATTTTTTTAATACAATTATGTACATTTTTTATATACAATTATGTACATTCGAAACAGAAAATTTATGTGTATTATGTTAAGAGTTTATGTGTATTATGTATTATGTTAGATTATGTGTATTATCTTTTCAAAAAAGAGTATGTATATTTTGTTATACAATTATGTGCATTACGCTATTCAATTATGTACATTTTATTATATAACTATATACATTTTTAAAACATGAATTTTTTTTTTAAGAAGTTAATTGCCGACACACAAAAAACAAAATTTTCAAAAAAAAAAAAATACAAAATAACGTCGTTTTGCACCAGGGTGCACAATGCAATGTGCGCCCTGGTGCACGATATAAATTGCCCCAATTGTTCAACCGGAAACGAAGAGCGGGCATCCTACTCCGTAATTCCTAACCCTATCTCCATTAAATTATAGTCAACAAGTCAACGGAACGTGATCTAGCAAAAGCCCAAAACTACCCTCCAGTCTCAGTCTACGTGGCACCTTTATCCTCTCACACACACTCGTTTCTCTCCCCCTCTCTCTCTCTCTCGCAACGGCGGACGGGCTGTTCTCCCAAGTCTTCGACAGCACAGTTCATACTTCTGACACTCTCTTCTCCCCCCCTGAAATCCTCGTGTTCTACTTTTTCCCACCTGATTTTCTAGACAATTTTCTGGGGAAACATATACTGCTTTTTTCCGTCTCGGATTCGGCAGCTCACAACGTCAAAAACTCCGCTTTTTGTTTTTGCGTGATCTGAGCTAAAGTCTGTCTGATCCGTCGATCTGAAGCATGGAGAGGATAGTTGGAGGTAAATACAAGCTCGGCCGTAAGATCGGAAGTGGATCGTTTGGCGAAATTTTCCTTGGTAAGCTATACGTATATACACACGTGTTTATACCAGAATCTGTTATGGTTTTTTTTTTTTTTTTTTCGTTTTTTATGAGTTCGAGTAATTTTCGCTTTGTGTTGAACTTGGTTGATTCTGTGTATTCTGCAGCAAAGCATATCGATACGTTCGAGATTGTAGCCGTCAAAATTGTAAGTTAAATTTCAATTTAGCTTGTGTATTATGCGAATCAATTGAATTTTACTGTCTATTGTATGATCACACAATTTTAGTTTTATTGTCTGCATTTTTGATGAATACGTAATTGTGTAATTGATCAATTTTGCTCCTGTCAAACTCAAAAGCCACAAAACCCTTGTCTGAGCAGCTTCCATCGGTTGTTGCCTTTAGGTTTAAGAAAAGTTGCTTAGTATGGCTTACAACAGGATGTTAGTGATAAGTGATGATCTCCTTAATACAATTTTGTACTATTCTAACTTAAGTAAATAGATTAATTCCAGTAAGTTACTTTAAACATTCAAACAGTGTGTGATTATGTTTAATTACAAGTCAGTAGCTACTGTTATTGGTTGTAAAAGGCACTGCTTTCATCTACTAGAATTTCTTGCTTCTATATTACAAAATTAATTCCTTTTAGCACAAGTAGGACAAATGATGTCCTGGAAAAAAAAAAGTAATGGTAATGGAGAATATGCTAGCAATTATTAGACATGCCGTTTCTGCAACAGTAAAGGGTATTCAGGTCTTGATACTGAATTAAGCTAATGAAAGCTAAGATGAGAATGCTTGTTAAGGATTCATGAATTAATTCAGATATGTTTCAACCAATATTCATCATCACTGGTCATCAATTAATTTTAGAGCACCATTATGTAGTATTTGTGTTTCCTTTTCATCAGTGTCAAACCCCCACCCCTTATTCCCACAAAATCACATTCTGATGGTTATATAAATCCTTTTGACAGGAGAATAACAAGACTAAGCATCCTCAACTTCTTTACGAGGCCAAGTTATACAATATTCTCCAGGGAGGAAGTATGTGCCAGTTGAACAATAAGTCTTTATAATAGGGAGTATATGTCTAGTTACATTTTACGAGGCAAAGGGCCACAGATTAAGGTAGCTAAAGTTCTTTAATGGTTTGATTTGTTTTTTTCTTTCTAGGTGGTATTCCCCATATAAAATGGTCTGGAGTGGATGGAGAAGACAACGCTCTTGTCCTTGATTTGCTGGGTCCAAGTCTAGAGGATCTCTTTGTATATTGTGGTAGAAAGTTTTCATTGAAGACTGTCTTAATGTTGGCTGATCAGATGGTATATTCAATGCTCAGATACAGCTGTATTTCCAATGTGTTGCACTTGAGAATATATGATACTCATAAGTTGTCCTTTATTAGGGTCCTTTACTCTTCTCTAATAAATGTTCTATTTCTTTTCCTGTTGAGCAGATGACTAGGATTGAGTACGTCCACTCTAAAGGGTTTTTACATAGAGATATTAAACCGGATAATTTTCTTATGGGCCTTGGTCGAAAAGCAAATCAGGTAATAAATACCCTGTGGACTTCATTCTACTATTTCTAATCTATTGTGTTTTGTTTTTATCATTTTGCTATTCTTTTGATAACCCATCCTTCATACATCTCTCTGAGTGATTCTCATTAAAATTTTCAACTTTTTAGGTTTACATCATTGATTTTGGTCTTGCTAAAAGGTATAGGGATGCAACTACGAATCGCCACATTCCGTACAGGTACTGAGATCCTTACATGCATAATCCTGATTCCTGTATTGCCAAGTTATCTACTTAATCTATCTTATTTTCTTTTCTGTCTGTTACTGTCATCTTGACCACTCTGTCAGTGTATTCATATGGAAGTAACAACTAGCTCATATAAGTTGCAGCTTTCTGCAATGATGTGACTTGAGTCCATTTCTAGAAGCAATTGTAATGTTGCTTTTTAGTTTCCTGACTATGCAAAATATGTAGTTATTGTTGCTGTTAATGAGCTTCTCTTCTTCTTCTTCTTCTTTTTTTTTTTTCTTTTTTTTTTTCCTTCATTTATACAGAGAGAACAAGAATTTAACAGGAACTGCACGATATGCAAGCTGTAATACTCATCTTGGGATCGGTGAGCATTCTTACACCACTTCCCTCTAATAAAGAGAATGACAGGAAAAGAAATGCAAAATCCCTTGACCAAGGATGGGATTTTAGTTCGAGTCAATCGAGTGTTTGACAGTGATTGGATGATACTAGCCATTTGCTTGACATTGGCTTTTTCTATGTTTAACAGAGCAAAGCAGGCGGGATGACCTCGAATCTTTGGGATATGTACTTCTTTATTTCTTAAGAGGAAGGTAACTATTTTTTTTTCTTTTCTTTTCTTCTCAATCTTTGGCTTTATTTATCTTGTTAATCTATATGCATGTATAGTTTGACTTCAACCTACTTCTGAATTCTTGAACAGCCTACCATGGCAGGGTCTCAAAGCTGCCACCAAGAAGCAAAAATATGACAAAATATGTGAGAAGAAGTTATCAACCCCTATTGAGGTGTGTATAAAATTTCATTTACTTTTTCCTTCAAGGTTTTGAAGTTATTCTTAAATTTCTTATTTTGCTTTTGATGTCCTACCTGAAGGTCTTGTGCAAGTCTCATCCTGTTGAGTTTGCGTCATATTTCCATTACTGTCATTCTTTGACATTTGATCAGCGGCCTGACTATGGTTTTTTGAAACGTCTCTTCAGAGAACTCTTCACTCGAGAAGGTTAGTATAAATTCGTGCTGCAACAGGTTTTGTCAATGCTGTACCATGGAGATAGTGAAATGCTACTTTGGCATGTGCTTGTTGTCCTCATTATACGTGTCATAGTTCTTAGTTTGTATATTGATTACCCCATTTCCTCTTGATGTAATGCAGTGTTTCATCATGTCTCTAGTTTCTGCACATTTATTGTACTGAAGGTCAGCTGGCTATTTTTTTGTATCATGCAGGATATGAATTTGATTACATATTTGATTGGACCATCCTAAAATACCAGCAGGCACAAAGTAGTAGAACACAGCAACGGGTATGTTGTTTTAGCCAATAGATAGCACTCACCAGTCTCACTTTTCTTCCCTTCTACATCATTGACCCAGAGTTTGATGGTTATAATGTCTTTTAGTTTGATGTGGCCGATTTTCCTTCTGCCTAGTTTCACTCTTCTTCTCCTAGATATTAATTTGATTTAGTTGAAATGTAACAGCCACTGCATGGAGAGAGCAGCCGAAGAGTTCCATTGGATTCAGAAAAGCATCAAGGTTAGGTGAACTGGTTCCACTTCTTTGATCTAAATGTACTTCTGAATCTCATAAACACATTGCATTTTAAGATAATAGTACCTTGGAGAATTTCAAGTGAAAATTCTTGTTGATAGCTTGGCAGCTAATCAGGAATTACAGCAGGGAGAATTTAGTTGCTCTGGTTTTGGTTGAGTGGTTCTATAATCCAAAATTAATATGTCAAATTCATAGATGTAGGAAACTAAGCTGATGACAAGACAATATTATTGTCTGTATTACATTGCAGAAATAGCATAACCTTGCTAAACATCTGTGCTTCCATACTCATTTTACTGCAAGGGATTAATAAAGCTAGCTATTTCTTCTATTTCAGTGGGAAACAATGCTCCTTATTCTGCTGAGTTGACAAAATCAAGCATTCCTACTAGTCCTGGTGCTCGTGCACAATTCAAGTTGTCAACAAATCGGAATTTGGCTTCTGGCAATCTTGAAACAGTTGAGAGAAATGTTAGTAATTTCATTTTGGTTGATAGAGTTAGGAATGAATAAATAAACTAATTTCCTTTTTTCTTGTCATTATAAACTACAATTTCAACTATTATGTTATTGATGCAACTATTCCTGTTTGGTAAAATAAAAAATGTACTCATTTTTATTATTATCTTTCTGATCAATTGGACAACCTAAAATTATTAATTTGTCTCATAGATGCTGAGCAATGCATACATGGCATCTACATCATTGTCTCCAGCTGGTTTTGGAAGAGCAAGTGCAACTAAACCTACTTTACCTGCTGAAACGACCAATGCTGGTCATGTAAATGGTGATAATTCTGGTGCAGGCAGCTGGATTTCCTCTTTACGTCGCATTTCTTCTGCCAAGTGATAAGTATGGTTCTCTTCCCCTCCCAGCTCTGCTTCTCATATGAACTGGGCTTTTTTTGGCAAGCTTTATTCCTGGTTGGTGATAACAAGCTGATTTTGTCCTTGCAGGAGATGTTAAAGAATTGTTGCTTAAGTTGGGTGCAGACTTGGTATCAATTAGAATAGGACATGGAGCTATCAAAGGAAGGTTGATAATCCCATACTGGTTCATGGCTGCAGTCCCAACAACCCGAGATGCATCAATTGACAGCAAGCAAGGCCCGAGAGCACATTTTGCCATTCATCTTGTCAAGGCTCGGGTTAGACTTTTTCCTAGATGACTATAAACAAATTCACGTTTGCTTGCAGATCACAGAGCTTTGTTCCTGTGGTGTTGTGTACGTTGAAAGAATCAATTCCTGAAATTTAGGCTGCTTAGTTTGGTGTAAAATCAATGATATGTTTTAAGTTTTTGTTCTTTGTCAGCAGATCGTAAGTTTCCTTTGTGCATATAGTGATGGTTGACTGGTTGTTTCTCTCACTCACATTTCTTCATCTGAGTTGCACATGTTGTAAGTGCTGTGTTGTTTTGTATTTTCTGCCATTCAAGCACCATTTGTATGAAAAGCACAATTACAATGCAGTTGGATTCCTTGCAATAATGGGAAGTTTGAACTTAATGATACCCCAGTGCATCCTTTTTTTTTTTTTTTTTTTTTTTTTTTTTTGTCTTCTTCCATGTGAATGCAGTTCCTTCTGCATAAGGGTATCCCCCACCAGAGACTTTCATGCAACTATTTCTCCAGAAATGGGATTCCAGACACTTCTTGTTCAGAATCTTGGATGCCTCAGAAATGCTGGAACTTCTACAAAGACTCTAGGGTTATTGATTATTATCACGATTATCCTTTTAACTGTTTCTCAGTCATGAGTGATTGTTTTGGCATTTGCAGGTTTCACTTTTCTTGATTGCCTACCAGCTGTCCCTGGTTGAACAATTCAAGTTTAAATCGAAGATGGTAACTGGAGGGCCAACAGATAAAGATATGCAACTGCTCCATATCGATTCAACCGGAGAGTTGGAGCTGTTCTCTATGATTGGGTCCATACACACTATAGCCTCTTGGTGTCCCTTTCAGCTCTGTGGTTGGAGTTTGTAAGTCTGCCAAATCCAACTCCTGTTTGAGTCATTTTCAACCTTTTAGGCTGGACTTGTTATTAGTGTTCATCATTATTATATTGCTATAGGGTGGCCATTCAACATGCCTTTTATATTTAGAAATTCTACCATACTGAATAGTAGGAGTGTCGATTACTGCGAATAAAAAGGGGTTAGTGATGTTTTCTAAATAGGATAATTGTTTTACTTTCACAGTTTCACTATTTATTACCCTTTTCTTTTATACTCCGTAGTAGTCAATGTTCTGAATATTTGGTACTATTTTTTTTTTTTTTTCTATAATTACCTATTACTGTTCTATTAATATTGAAAAAAAAAAAAAAAAAATATATATATATATATATATATATATATATATATATATTTTTTTTTTTTTTTTTTTTTTTTAAAAAGGAAAGAAAAGCTTGAGCAACCCCAAGAAGGGTTTTTTTGAGTTTTTTTTTCATAATTTTAAAGGCGGTGCTATAAAAATCGGTCTAGGCGACCCCCTAGGCCGAGGCGATTTCAATCCTAGGCGGTTTTTAGTCGGTCGACCGATTAACTGGCTGACAAGGTGCTCTAGGCGCGCGCCCAACTTGGTTGAGTCAGTGCTGAACTTGATTGAGTCGGTTTTTTTTTTTTTTTTTTTTGCATGCTCGGTTGTTCCTCTCCTATATTTTTCTAGCCATTTATTCAACTAATCATCTAATATATGTAATTGACTAGTTTGTGGGATTATAACAGTCTAACAATTCACAGTCCTAAATGAAAAAAGTGGAGACGATATACTTGAATTACTCGATCACCTAGGAGGTGTCTAGGCGCACCCGGAACGCCTAATGCTTTCTGTAACATTGATTTTAGCTTTAGTGGAGTAAGAAAAGAGGGAGAGAGAATGAGAAAAATCAAGTTTTTTGTGGACTCACCAAAAAAAAAAAACATCAACAGTTGGAAATGCTCTAACTGATGAAACATTCATCGGTCTGACTTCTTGGTAGACACCATGGAGGTCCTTCCCTAACAAGAGAAGGGAAAAAAGGAGAATTTTTTATTGACTTACTCAGTGATGTAGATGAGGACCATAGAGGCTCTCATCTAAAATAAAAAATTGTAGGTGAAGACTTCTGTGGTGATTTTCGTCAAATATTTGGGCCATCATTTCATTTTAGAAACAAAGACTCTACCTCTAGTACAGCCTTTGTTGTTATTGTAGCCGTTTTTATTAATTCGTTGTAGTCTTTTCAATCAGTCGTTATATTTGCACAGCGGTAAAAAACGGCGCCGTTTCTTTAAGTAAAGAAACGGCCCGCCGTTAGAGTTAACGGAGTCCGCTTGTTTGGTGTATTAAATATCAACTGACACTATAGTATATCTAAACCGACACTGCAGTTATATCAAAATGATACTGTAGTTATAGTGAAATGAAACTGCAGTGTATATAAAATTAAACTGAATAACATTTCACATATTTGAGTGTATATTGTACAATGAAGCTGTAATTATATCAAAATGATCATGTAGTTGTGTTTTAATGAAACTATAGTGTATATAAAATAAAATTAAATAACATTTTCACATATTTGAGTTTATAAATATCGAATGAAACTATAATTATATCGAAATGAAACTGTAGTTGTGTTGAACTGAAACTGCAGTGTATATAAAATGACACTGAATAACAGAGTTACTTTTTACAAAAGGGTGCGAAACGGCGGAAACAAACACTGTTTATTTTCATTTAAAAAAAAAAAAGACGCGCGGTGCATAATCGATTATGCACCGCGGTGCATAATATAATTTGCCCTTTTCAATAGAGTTAGAAAGATGGGCCATACGAAACAATTAAAGGAATGGAAGTCAATTTATTTAGTGTTCGCAAATTATGCCATGGAATCGTGTTCACCGAGAATGGTGAACACAAGGCAAAACGACGTCGGTTTTAGTCAAAAAAAAAAAAAAAAATCGCAGATGTGGAGTTAACGGCGCGCGTTTGATCAAATTATGAATTTTCTGTTATGAGATTATGAATTTTATGAAAATTCATAATCTCATAACAGAAAATTCATAATCGCATAACAGAAAATTCATAATCTCACAACTGAAAATTCATAATCTCATAACAGAAAATTTATAATCTTATAACAGAAAATTCATAATCTCATGGTTCCAAAGTGAATGTGCAGGCATGGATTCATAATTTATGAATGTCCGTGATTTCGGACGGGAATATGTAGGCATGGTTCCAAAGTGAATGTGCAGGCATGAATTCATAATTTATGAATGTCCGAAATTATGAATGTAATGAAAATTCATAATCTCATAACAGAAAATTCATAATCTCATAACTGAAAATTCATAATCTCATAATAGAAAATTCATAATCTTATAACAGAAAATTCATAATCTCATGGTTCCAAAGTGAATGTGTAGGCATGGTTCCAAAGTGAATGTGCAGACATGGATTCATAATTTATGAATGTCCGTGATTTCGGACGGGAATGTGTAGGCATGGTTCCAAAGTGAATGTGTAGGCATGAATTCATAATTTATGAATGTCCGAAATCTTTGTTCACCTTAAATTAAAGTGAAACCGCAAAATGTGAAAATAAAGAAGAAAAGTCACGCAATTAATTAAGAAAAAAAAAAAAAAGATAACGGTGTACTAACACCGTTAGAACCGTGTTCACCATGAATGGTGAACACGGTTCCATGGCATAACGTCCCTTTAGTGTTACTTAAGTGACAACTCTGACATTGTTAACTTATACTATGCACCATGCTCTACATTACGATGCCCATGAATAAATATTCATTTTTAGTACTAAAAATGTTAGATTTTAATGTATTTTTAAAATATATATATCAAATATTGAATTTTTAGTATAAAATAATGAATTTTTTAAAAAATAAATATTTAATATATTAAAAATGAGCTTTAAATCAGTGAATCAATCGTGGTTTATGATATAATAATTGGTTAACTTACTAATTGGCTTGATTGCATATTTTGTCAATTTTCAAGTGTTTCAATGGAGAATTTTTAAAATAGTTTGGAATCTCAATTGCATTATTCGATCATTATTTGACCATTATGTTTTAAATGAATAACAAAATGTGTAACGTTTTTACACTTTTTATGAGTCTCATCATTAAAAAAGAAAAAAAAAAAAAAAACACATAGATAATATTTTTGAATGGTAGAAGATTTTTTTTAAAAAGGAAAATGATCAAATAAACCTCTAAATTTATATGAAAAGTAAAAAAGGTTCTTAAACTTTCCCTGGAGAATTACAACCATTTTCCGGTCGCCTTCCCCGAAAAATGGAGACTATTTTTGGTTGCCTTCTTCTTCGATCAAAAGAAGACAGTGGTCAACAGCAACTGACAGCAATCAACAGTGTGATTTTATAGTAACTTGTTGGTTACTAATAAATTGAACTCACTTGACCAGTTTTAATACATTAGAAGGTTTAATTGCACATTTTAAAAGTTTAAAGACCTAATTATTATAAAATAAAACTTAGGAGAAAACAAAAACTATAGGGGCCGTTTACTAACTAGAAATTTGTGGAAATTTTTGGAAACTGGAAAATAGAAAACAGAATACATGTTTACTAGCACAGTTTTCATTTTGAAAACTAAAAATAATTTCTAAAAATTTTTAGAAAACTAAGGGGTCGTTTACCAACTTGGAAAAATGGAGAATTTTCCAGAAAAATAGAGAAATTGAGAAGTGGAAAAATGAAAATTGGAGAAGTTGTTTACTAAATTTCTTCCTCCAAATGCTTATTCCTTCTCCATTTCTCCACTTCATGTATATTTTTGGAGAATGAAAATTTGGATATCTCCAAATGGAGATATGGAGAGAAACACGGGTGAACAGTGCTCTTTGGCCATGAGGTCGCTGGTTCGATTCCTGCTGCGTGCCTTTCCGTTGTTTTTGTTTTAGTTTTAGTTTGGCTTTGCTTCAGCGCCTTTGCCATTATTAGTATTGTCTTTTTATTATTATTATTATTATTATTATTATTATTATTATTATTAGTTTTGTCTTTGCCTTTCCTTCAGTTGCGCCTTTGCCATCATCATCATTATTATTATTATTATTATTATTATTATTATTATTATTATTATTATTATCTTTTTATTATTATTATTATTATTATTATTATTATTATTATCATCATCATCGTCATCATATTATTATTATTATTATTATTATTATTGTTATTATTATCATCATCTTTATTATTATTATTATCTTTTTTCCATTTTCCATTTTCCTCATCCTTATGCACACATTATTATTATTATTATTATTATTATTATTATTATTATTATTATTATATTTGTTGTATAAATGTAAAAATGCTATATGAGGTGGTTGTATTTAATAAAATCAAAAAATTAGAGAAATGAAGAATTAGGGGAATGTGGAATGAAAATTAGAAAATTGGAGAAATGGAAAACTGGAAGAATGGAGAAGGAAAACTGGAGAAATGGAGAAATGGAAAACTGGAAATGGAAAAACAGAAAAACGAAGTAAACGACCCCTAAAACACTCTTAAAAACGGCTTTCTAAATAGAAAATTGTTTTCTAATTAAAAAACATAATCACTTATCATCTATTTAGTTATATGTCACTATAATCACATTACTATGATTATATTTATTATCATCTTATTTGACTTATCACTATCTTCTATCTTTTCTACTTACTTTACTTATTTAAACATAACTTATTTACTTACACTTTAAAGTTAGACATTATTTACATTATCAAAATTAAGAATTAAACTCTATATAACGTTTTAGATTTTGATTGAACTCAATAGATTATTAGTTCGAATATTTTTAATTATGTTACATCGTAATACAAGTTCGGTCCAGATATCGGATATTGAAATCTCACATATATTATAATTCAAAGTAAAAGTTATATATTCATATACATGTCATTCAAATGAATATATCTAAAAAATATTTTAAATATTAGCTCAAAAAATATTAATATTATCTAAACTAAATTTTAGGTGAAGTTAGTAGATTATTGGTTCGGATATATATATATATTTAGTTATTATGTTATATACAGATATAATTTTTTTTCAGTTATCAAATGTAAAAATCTTACATATATTAGACTTAAAAGTAAAAAAATAAAAAAATAAAAAAATATTCTATTTAAACCAAACATATGTAACAAAATTTTAAATATAAGATCTAAAATCACTCGAAATTAAACTTGTGTTAATTTTATAAAGTTAATCTAAAAAAAAATTAAAAAAATAAGTGTTAGTAAACAAGTTTTAAACAGAAAACAGAGTATGGAAAACAGAATAAAAACTGAGAAATAGAAAACAGAAAATAGTTTTCTGTTAGTAAACGAGCATAATTTTCTAAACTTTAAAAAAACAACAAACTTATAAAAAACACAACATTATGTTGTGGCTTTAAATAAAAATTATTGCATTGAACATTACAAATTTACAAATATTACAAGTACCTCGGGAAATAATCCGAGATTTTATAAATTGTACAAAAGAATTTTGACGTAATATTTGACTCAAAAAAATTTCTCGAGTCATTTATTATCTCATATGTAAATGAGAAGGGAGTAAAAGAAAATAATCTATATATTTATACACCCTAGTTAGCAATCCACTCTATTTCTAGATCAACTTCACCAGATTCTACGTTCTGCAGCTTCAGTGATATTTCTTGTTTCACCTTCCCATCAACAATGTTTACAGAGCTATCCTCAATTAGCGCATTATCATTTGATTTAAACCATTTCCCTATCTGCATATCACTAAACATTGTAGGATCTCCAAATGCCATAGCAGAGGCAATCATCGGCTGAATGTCAATCTCAGCCTCCCCCATTATATCATCAGCAGAGAAGGTGTCATAATCATAAACTTCCTGCAAAGTAGTAAATCATGATGAATATAATATATATAAAATATGTTTAGCATAATACGGAGTATATATAACTAATAAAATGTGTAGGTCTCACTAATAACTTAACTTTCTAGTTTAACAAGACACAATTCAATTTGATATCAAAGCTAACCCGACTGTTACTTACTTTTTAGTTTAGACTAGACACATAATCCAATTTGGTATCTGACCTCGACAAAATGACATAGACTCAAATCTTCACACAATATCGAAAGAATGATGAAAATGTTATGAGAAAAAAAAAAAAAAAAAAAGTAATTAGTATTCTCGCTATCGACTTAACTTTTTAGTTTACACGATACACACAATTCAATTTGGTATCAGAACAAACCTAAACAAAATTTCATTGACTCAAAATATATAAAATATAGATTGTCTGTGCATTTGTTTAATCCAACCATTACTTGGAAATAACATATTCTTAAATTAATCAGAATTTGTCATGTCTACAAAATTTATGCATACTCAAATTTTCACAGTATAGAAAGAATTATAAGAGAATGAAATATTACCAACTTAATTGGGCCAGAATCTTGAGGAACAGAAAGCGTGAGAACTTCATTCCAAATAGGATTCAAATTGCTCCTAATTGAGGTTGTTTGCACTTTCTAGAAAATCATAAAACATGTTGAGATAAACTGGACTATAAAAATCTTAAGATGTAATTTGAATAGTTTTGAGTCATCTTCAATTATATAGTGTTTCTCATTTAAGGTTTGTATATAAGTAGGAACAAAATATGAACAGTTAATATGTATTGTCAACCCAGTTATGAGGTTATGCAGTCTAGCTAACCCATAAAGTTGGCAAACACCCCATTATAGTTCATACAAGACATACATCCCCATAAAAGATTCACTAACCTCATTGCCAAGGGTCAAGATAACATATGGATCACTTGAAAGCATGTCTCGAACCGCTAGGTTTCTCCCTTTGAGTACTTTAACTATCACCATTCCAATGATTTCTAACGCGCCTTCCTGTAACCAAGTTTTGTTTTAGCTGACTACAAGTGATCCCAAATTAAATGATCATAGTATCACTTTGGAAAAATCATTTTATAGTTTCTCTGGCTTTGCAATAATATCATACAACACGATGTTAATAACAATAATTCAAAGGAAATACAATAGCACTCATAAGAAGTATTAAATCTCTTTGAAATTTAATCTATACTAGATAAATATGTACTCATGGGAATAGTTAATGCTATCTCTCTTTAAAACAAATTATAACTTACAATATGTGAACTCGAACTTCGAACTGTATCCATAGCCTTCCTGGATAAACTTGTTTGAAGAGAGGACCCCTTGGGAGCCGACTTAATACGCAAGCTAGGCTTCAAGAATTCTTGACGCTCATATTTAGCCCTACAAATAGAATGCATAGCATCATCAGAGCACCACCACCTACATCAGGTGCATCTGTTTTTGTGGTTAGCATACATGTTTTGTGATTGCCACCTCAGGTAAACATTTTGCATGGATTCAAAATTCAAAATACAATGGTTTCTAACAAGATATAAAGGGTATCTTTCTATTCAATTAACATAAATCACTTGTGACCAGCTTGGTTGGCGTGAGGGGCCGTGCACTCTCGTCCCTTAAGTGAGGTCCGGAGTTTGAACCCCTCTCATATGGAAAAACCAATATGGTCAGCACTTTGCCCCTTAATTGGGCCGGCTCGGTATAAACGGGGATTAGTCTAAGTATGGTACATGCTTAAAGGTGTCTCCTACAGTTAGGGCCTGCTTAGGACACCTCGTGGTCTGACCAACAAAAAACATAGATCGCTTGTAGAATTGAAACATGAATTGGTATTCTAGAAATTCCACCTTCCTTCTGTAGGTACTTGGTGCTAAGAGGCATAGAGTAATGCTGGATTAAAAGTCTTGTTTGATAATTGTTAAAATATTCACATGTTCTTATATGTATGTGTCAAAAGGGAAAAATGTCAAGCTAGCTTACTTTGAACAATTTATATAATTTGGTTCCTGTTGTTTATATACAGAGTAGTAAACCATCCTCCTTGTAGGAGTAGTACACCTGAATTCGGTTTTGGAGTGTGATTTTGTTTCATAAAAAGAATGCTGTTTGTTTAAATGAAGAAAAAGACTCGAAATATTCAGTAAGGCATGAAGGGACACATAGATCATAATGAAGCTTCATTTTAGGTGTTAACCCACTATTCGTCTATTCCATGAGTCTAGTGTTAGGAAGGACTGTTACCTAATGAAATGTGTATTACAAGTTCACTGAAATAGAGAATGGATCAATAACAGCAATTCCATATCAAATCTAACCTGATAAACCTAGCACGCTGATCATGGCTAGCATCTGGCCCAGGCTTAGAAATCCCATCAGGGAAATAAGCTTCATAGATTGAATTCGCTGAAGCATTTCCTCCTATATCAATTATCCCATCAATTTCATCATCTGACCATTCATCCATCGTCACAGACAAAACCTGCAGGGTTAAAGAAGAAATCTTAGTTAGTGTTCAAAAGGGAAGCAACACAAAAACCGTATTCCATCCATGCATAGAAGGGGATGAAGCAGAGCCCTCTTAAGAGAATGCATTTATGTAAGTGTGTACATGAATTCTCTCAAATGCCTTTTACTACAATGCCTCTTTCTAAAAATGGAAAAATTCAAGGTATTTTGGTCATATCAACTGGGTTGGGAAAAGAAAGAAAGATAGTGGCATGTGAAAAAAATGCCTTCCTGATATTCTATTTCATTTTTTTGGCAAAAAGGCATTGTAGTAAAAGGTATTGGAGAAACTCCCTGCATATACGCACATACATTTGTGTCTATGTCCATGTGCATCCACATAAGTTACAAATCTTGGAAAAGCTCATTACTATGATATTTGGAGGCTACTAAACTGTAAACAAAATTCCTAACCCTGTCTAAATTTATTGTTTATGAAGTCACAAAAACGGAAAAAATAATTAAGAAAATTTCCAGAATGAATTTTGTCATTCTTTCAGAGTCCATATAGATTCAATTTACACCTTTTAAGGTCTAAAATATGTACATGAAGAAGTCAAACCACAAAATATAAGTTTGTATCACTCACACTAATCAAATAAAGTTGTGGACATGTTATTCAGTTCTTTGACATGTCATGTACCTTTGAGATATGAGCGCCAAGGCTTCTGTGCACGCCACAGCACTTTAAGCATATGAAAACCCCAATATTGGCTGATCTGTAAGTGCAGAATACAATATAAGCATCCAAATAAGATTATAAGCTAAGAAAGAAAAAGAAAATAATGACACGTGTAATAATTCCAACAGTTGATAAAAAAAAGACAAGAAAAAATCAAAACACCATGTTTCCACATTAAGTTGGGACTTTCCACTCTAACTAGAACTGCAAATAAAATTTGATTTGATGTAAAAAGTACTATATATATATATATATATATATATATATATATATATATATATATATATATATATATATATATATATAATTAAGAAAATTCCAGTTCACTTGGGCCATCCAGTACTCTATATGCATTTAAACCAAGAGCGAGAGAGAGAGAGAGAAGATAAGAACGTAGTGTTTTTCAAATACTAAGCAAAGAGATTGTAGTACACCTATTCAAATTTCAAAGGCTAGTGGAGAATCCTAAATTAGTGTCATAGAATAAGATTTCTAGTTACATGCCTACATAGGAAATAAGACAAGATATGATACTTGTTAATGTAATGAGTATACACAATATAACAATAACAATATCAGTGGCCAAATAAGTTAAATGACATTAGAAAAAACATTTCATCAACTTTATTTGCAATTTTTCTACTTAAGTCAATTTTAAGATGCTGTGGTTATTTCTTCATAATAAGTACAATTAGAGGTGGTTGGGAGGCATCATGACTGCCGCATGTCAATTTTGAGCTCATCACAAAACCATAACAAAAGTTCCCTTTGTAAATGGTAAATTATCGAAAAACAGACACAAGGCCATTAGAAGTGATATAAAGAAATTACAATATGTTTCAATCAAGTGATCTAAAAATTTTCAAGATAAGGGATGCTCTCCTAATCCTCCGAAAAATACAGAATATCAGCATGAACAAAGTAAGTAGGAATCCAGATGCTGGAACTTACGCCCATTTTGGGTCTGGACTACCACAATCAGCACATACACGATTTTCACTTTTTACCAAAAGGTCTCTCAATCTTCTTTTATCTGTTCAAAATGCAATTGACAAAAAAGAGACTTGATCATTATCAGAAACAGAGAGGTGGTAAAACTGCAGAACCATGGCGTAGATAGAGAAATGTGTGCAAACTTGAGAGCTCATCACGTGAAGCTGAGTGTACAAAATGATGATAAGCTATATTCTGCTCCTAATATGCACACCTTCAATGGCCATTCAAGCAACGTTTGCTTACATTATTAGTCAACCACTTAACACTCTTTTGGGTGACAAGCCACTACTCGAAGGTGTGCACTGGGTAAACCTCGCCTTGCGACCCTACCCGGCTAAGGACCACTAGGAGGTAAACCAAACTAGGTTGCCCATGGCTGACTGTCTCAGACCAAGAAGGCCATAGGCCACTCTCATTAGGATTCAAACTTGAAACCTTGTGATTATCAAGCCAACAGGGCCTAACGTTTCATTTAACACTCTTGTTTGAAACAACATTGCAACTTCCTATAAATGCAGCACTCTTAAAGTAAGATGTTGCATGTTTACCCAAGCTAAAGCTTTGTGCAGGAAAATTTGTGAGGATTGGCCTCAAACATTTCATCGAGCACAAGATGAACAGCACAAGTGGCAACAAAGCAACAAACCACATGTAGTCAAATAGGCTAAGATTCAAACTAAACTGTATGATGATAAAAAATAAAAATAAAAAATACAGAGTATCAGAAAAGCACTAAAATCATACTTGAAGATATCCCGCTCATGGCTCTGCCAATACGCTACAGTCATCCAACAAAGCTACTTTTCACTCTGTAACCACAAACAACCTATCAGCGACGCAACCCAGAAAGGAATTCATTTAATTTTCTCAGGAAAAAAAAAAAAAAAAAAAAAAAAAAAAAAAAAAAAAAAAAAGATAAAGGAAATGTTTCAAACAAGTTGTCTGCATCAAGAAACAGTGATGGGAGCGCGTATCAAATAATCCAATTGCGTTGTATCATTTAAGAAAACTGGTAATTCCAGCGCAGGCAAATCCAAAAACACCACAAGTTAACAGAAATCGTGAGAAAAATAACACAAAATTGTCCCCGCTATCGAATTGCATAAAATTTGACATTGAGAAAGGCGAAAGGGATCGTTTAGGTTGCTGATTGAATTATGAACATTGCATGAGACACAAAATATAATGAAAAAAAGATCGGAGAATTGAAGAGTGAAGAATCGTGTCGTCACCTTTAATATGTCGATGCTCCTGGAGTTTGAATCTAGAGAGAGAAAGCCTTAAAGGAAGAGAGAGATCCGTTTTCTGACTTTTCTCTCCGACAGAAAGCGAAAGGTTTGATTTGTTTTCTTCGATCAACAATCAACTGTCAAGTGTCAACCATATCAACTGTCCGTGTCGAGTAGTTATGCACAAAGGCCCACCCTTATTTTGTAAAACAAATTTTCCTTCCACTTTAGTTTAAAAAATTATATATATTTTCGAAACTAATTTAGATTTTATTTGAGTTTTTTAATATAAAATATTTAAAATGACATATTTTTAATGGTTTAGTACCAAATCTAATAAATTCAAAAAATAATAAAAACTTTAATAAATTAATATTATAGTAAAATGGATAACATTCTTGGTCGCCTTCTCCACTGACATTTGAACGGTCGTCGATCGCTGGTATTTAACTTAGTTTGCCGGAATTTGGTCGAATGTTTGTCGAAGATTTACCAGAGTTGGTTGGAATCCTAATTGACCTGCAATTACAAGTCATCAATAGGTGAGTGGGTTTCATTTCTCTAAAATAACATATTTGTGGGTTTAATTACAACTTCTAAAAATTTAAAGGCCTAATTAACTTTTTGAATAAAGTTTAGAGGCTTATTTAACCATTTTCCCTATTTCTTATATTTACACATTTCCCTGACATTTCGATTCTTATATATATATATATATATATATATATATATATATATATATATATATATATATATATATATATATATATATATATAGAGAGAGAGAGAGAGAGAGAGAGAGAGAGAGACTTTTGTTCAAATGCCGATCGTGCCCTCCCGTGCGGTCGCTTGACAAGATACACCAAGTGTTAACAAAATGCACCAATAGTGTTAGGAAAAAACACAACAATAAAATGCACAAATACACCAAAAACACACAACACACTCAAACAACTACACCATATAACTCTCCACCGCTAATGGTGTATTTCCGAACACTGTGTGGTGCTTTTATTCATACCTAATGGTGCGTTTTTGATGATGCGTACCTAATTTGTGCATGTTTTTTGTTGTGCATTTCCTAACATGAATTGTGTATATTTATATAATTATTGATGCGGCCGCACTGACCGCAAAGGAAGGCGCGACTGCACCTAAACTTGACTCTATATTTGAAATTATCCTATCCTTGCTTCTCGTTTTCCATTTTCCCATTTCTCATTTGTGCAACATAGACATGCAGCATTTCCCAAAAGAAAATTGAGTACAAAATCTTGAAGGCTTAGATAAAGCTAGAAGCATTTATTCCTAACAATATTTCTGTTTCAAATACAGGAATACAATCTTGATTCCCTTGACTCCTTGAGTTTCAAGAATTCTAAACATTTTTCCAACAATTACTGTTTCAAACAGGAGAACATAATCCATGATTCCTTTTGAGTTTTCAAGTTCCCAACATTCTCAGTACACTTCAACATGCCATTGTTTGTTCTTCTTAAGCTGCGAAAGCTTGGTCTCCCAGCTCAGCCCTCTCTCCTCTGCGACTCTCTTCAATGTATCCTGAATTCCAGGCATCATGCCCTTCAACCCGCAGAAATAGATGTGTGCACCTTCATCGAGCAGTTTGAAGATCTCGTCGCTGTATTCTTCGATTTTGTCTTGGACATACATCTTGCCTCCATTCTTGTTCTTCTGTTCTCGGCTAAGAACACGATCGTACCTGAAATTATCTGGGAAGTCCTGGAGATACTTGGCGAACTCATCGTCGTACAGGAGACTGTCGGTGTTGGCCACCCCTAGGAAGAGCCAAGCGAGGCCGTTGAACTTGAATGTGGGGACGGATTCCATAAACATGCGACGAAGGTAGCCTCTGAAGGGAGCCACACCGGTACCGGTGGCAATCATAATGTGGGTGGCATTTGGGTTATCTTCGGGTAGAAGCATTATCTTTCCAGAAGGACCTACAAAGAATATGACCATATAGTTAAAGAAAAAAAAGGGTCTTCCTAGCAACAACAAAATTAATGATTGATGCTCTATAGTATTTTTCACAAATTCAGCAAATGGGAAATCTTCATATCATGAACCTTGTTAGTGATCTCTTACCTGTGATCTGCACTTTGTCTCCAGGTTTTGAATCACATAGAAAATTGCTGCAAACTCCGTTTTTGGAAGGATCTTCTTTTCCTGTCTCGGGATCATAATAAACAGCGCGTCTAACACACAAACTGGTTGTCTTCCCATCAAAAGAGTCTCCATATCTGGAGGATGCGATTGAGTATAAACGAACATTATGGGGGCTACCTGGTTTCTTTGGGTTTTCTCCCTGGAATGAAATCATAGTCAAGGTTTAGAAAGCTCCCCGCACAATGCTAGAATGCCAGAACCAAATGCACTTCGTTGAGAGTTACCGAATTGAAATAAAATGATCAGTTTGCTTAAAATATATAAAAATCATGTTAAACGTTCTGGACTTGATTCTTCCTGGCCAACAAGCTCTCAACAGAAGAGAACGATGGTTCATTCATAGTCCCATATACAAATAAGTCATCTTATAGATCTTGGCCCTGTTTGGTAAAAACTTGCCTATAGGTCAATTTTGGCTTATTTGACCACTATTAATTGTTTGATTTAGTTAAAATATCAATATAAGTGTTTGGTTAATTAGCTTAGCTTTTGCAACTTCAAAATGCTAAAATTCAAAAAGCTACTCCAAGCAACTTTTTCAATTAGCTTTTTCAAAAAAGAAATTATACCAAACACTTTTCTACAATAGCTAATGTTATCAACTAGTTATACCCTCTAATTAACACAATCAGCTATCAGCTAACGGCCAGTTACCAAACAGGGCCATATGTAAGGTAAAAATGTAAAATGACTAGACTTTGGCATGAGCTCCCTGGTGAATTACTAGTTCAGTAAGTGTAATAAAAAACAAAATAAAAACTTCGAAGCCATGACTTACAGGAGGAATTACACCGTAGCTTTGTCCTTCCCAGTACGGAACATTACCACCATGATCAATCACAATATGGCAGGTCTCACCAGGAGCTTTTGGGCCTACAATCCTCTCAACAGAGGCAATGGTTGCTGTGTATGGCCCCTTAGGCTTGTACAAGTTCAGTGGAGGTTCTTTTGCATCTTCAAGTGATAAAGGTGAAACAGTAACTTTGGGTATGTTAGCTTGTTGCACTGACATGCAAACAACATATTGGCTCCGGGATTTTCCATTTCTGGTTTTCAAGTCAAAAGGTTGGAAAGATATTGGCGATCTGTTGTTGAACGTAATGCTGTTAGCCTGCATGAATTAAAAGCATATTTTGACATCATTAAGGCAAAATGCTTCTGTGATACATAATGTCATATACTTAGATTGGGTAAATTAGAAATACCGAATGAGAATACCAAATAATCCATGCTTTCTCCCTTTAAGATTATTTCAATAAGCTTCTTTTGAAAATATAGCTAATCAATAAATCTTTATGCAGCATAACAGAATTCACGTCCATCACAACAAAATATGACATGCTAGAACCAGAAGCGATTATTTGAATTGCATAAGCGTCCAACAGTAAGATGATTACAAGTCAATTTATATAGAATTTTCTTGATTCTCAAAGGGCATTAAGTTATTAATGACAATTCTAGCGGTGAAATGTAGTAACTACAAAAAATTTCTCTAACAATGTATGAGAATTCTAAGGAATCAGAAGAAAAGAAATCTAGAAAAAAACAAAAATAAAAACCACAAAAATTACAAATGAACAAGCAAACTGTAACTCACTACACTTCAAAACTTATAAATTTGCAAAAAACAAGGTGATATAAACAATTAAACCAAGTTTCACATAATCTGAGGAATGAGACAACTTAATAACCAAAGATTTGAAATGAAATCTAAAAATTAAGGAGAGGGAATAAGTAAGTGGATGAAGAATTTTGATCAAGAACAGTATCACTTGAAATTACACCAACGTAAAACGAACTATCTAATAAGAGTCTATACAATTGAAGAAAAAGAAAGCAACTTTTTAATTAGTATCGAAAGGTAATGGATTTGGTTAATTGAAAGAAAAGGAGCATATAACCGAGCACCTTGAAGGCGGATCTTTGTAGGGACGAATCTCCATTGAGAGCAACAGCAACTGAGACCTGCATAAGCTGAAACCGAAGAAACCCAGTCAAGAAAACCCTTCAGCCAATAGAAACAAGGGATCCCAATCGGGTTGGTCAAGGTGGCTGACCTGAGAGACGGCTGCCATGATCGCACTCCACAAAGCTCTTGTATCTCGCTATAGAATTAAAACTTAAAAGTCAACAATGGGGTGTAGGGAGATTTATGAAGGGGAAGTTTGGGGTTTTGGGTAGGAATATGGTAAGGCGTTTGATCCTTTGAGCAGTTCCAAAGGGCATCTACGCACCCCATTTGGCTCTTCATAGCTTTTCTTCTCCTTTCTTTTCTATTCGTTACAGTCCCAATGTCCTGGTTGGTTTAAAGAAAGGCAAAATTGTTTGTCCTCCCATTATACCTGTGAAGTTATATGTGTGAATTTGGATTGGGGATTCAGTCTTTTGGTAAGAAGTTATATGGTGACTATTTTTAATTCCTAAATTATGTATGGAGTGGTGGTTTTAATCTTAGAAGAATTAAATTAGTCATTTTATATTTTCAAAAAAAAAAAAAATTAGTCATTTTATTAAATGATAAATTAGTAATAGAAATATTTTTTGTAGGACTAAAACCGTCACTCTATACATAACACAAAAGTTAAAAAATGTTATACATATAATACAGGGACTAAATTTGTACCATGGATACAACTTGAAGGACTAAAAATACATTTTTCCCTTTAAAAGATGTGTCATGTTTTTCATTCAACATTTGGATTTTTTTTTTTCAATTTTATTCCACAAATGTTATGTCGTTACACCTTTGATCTTTAGTTTTTATTTTCTCAATCTTAGTTGTATAATATTAGAAGGAAAT